AAGTTTCAGGGGGTACTACAGTAAATAAGCCAAAAGATAATAATACTTTATTTGAAAAGTTGAATTGTTTCTTGGAAATTGAAACATTGCACTTCTTGGCTTATGGATGCAACATGAAAAGACACATTTTTTCAATCACATCTTTTTTGAACAAAGGCCTTGTTGCCTATAAATAGAGAAGGTCCTACAACATTTCATTCATCCAATTGTCATCCAACAATAGTAGTTTTTAGAGCATTCATAGCATTATATTTTCAGAAATATAGTGAGTTAGTAAGAGAGAATTCATACACAAGTTTGAGTTTGGTTTTCTTGGGGATTGTAGTGCTACTTCAACAAGAAGTCGATCGTTGTATCATGGGAGACGTTTGCCAAGCAAATCCTAAAAGCACCTATGAGGAGGCAATTTCGTCTTAAGGAGATAGAACCAAGTTCTAGACTCGATCATCTATAAAGTTTTCTTAACATTTTCCTTGTCGTTATTTTCTTGTATTTATTTCAAATTTATAGTGAAGTTTTATTTTTGAAATTATGTAAATATAACAATTACCTTTATATTTTTACCAACAGGGACTCTGATGGCTCTTCTCGACGACGAGGAGGATGCCTATGGCTCTCTGACAGGACCCGCCTTGAATTCCTCGAAACTCGAGACGAATCCTGTGGAAATTTTTCGATATCACACCAATGCTGGGCCCACTTACTAAAAATTTAGCCTCTTTTCCAAATTAAGGGAAAAGAGCACAAGACTTTCTGCCGAAATTTCGGCAGAGTCTCCCCTGTAAATTGAACATTCCCCGAAAATTCCAACCTGCATAAAACACATTTTAAAACACCAACTAGCAGCATGCACAAGTTAACAATATGCAATCACATAATAGGCCTTCGGCCTTCAGATAATTCAAAACCAAACCATTCATGATCTCAAACAATTATACGATTACTCCCAAAAATCATTAAACCGGATTCAAATCCATTAACCACAACAAAAATCCGATCACACATTCAGAATCGATCAAACCTTTTAAAAGCAATAATATTCCGCGGCTGCACCTGGTGAGACTCCAGGCTGCGTAATATGTATGCCTATAAATGAGTATATATATATATATATATATATATATATATATATATATATATATATATATATATATATATATATATATATATATATATATATATATATATATATATATATATATATATATATATATATATATATATATATATATATATATATATATATATATATATATATATATATATATATATATATATATATATATATATATATATATATATATATATATATATATATATATATATATATATATATATATATATATATATATATATATATATATATATATATATATATATATATATATATATATATATATATATATATATATATATATATATATATATATATATATATATATATATATATATATATATATATATATATATATATATATATATATATATATATATATATATATATATATATATATATATATATATATATATATATATATATATATATATATATATATATATATATATATATATATATATATATATATATATATATATATATATGTGTGTGTGTGTGTGTGTGTGTGTGTGTGTGTGTGTATAACACCCACCTCTCACCATCATCATGTACTGGGGGAAAACAATCCAACAGGGGATTGTTGACTAGCTCACAATTATCCGGCCCTCAAACGTCCATGTGGCTAGGGATGAGTCGTCCAACTGAGGGACTGATACTCTAACCAGCCCGTACGGACGAAGAATCAAGACCCGTACGTTTGAAACCAGTCCTACGTGCGCAGACTACCCAATCAAGGGTCTACAGCAACATCCCGTCAAGGATGCCCCGGGTTCCGTCATATCCAGACCATATCACAATTTCCATATATCAGTATCCAAGGGGAGGTACATATGCTGATGCACATCATGTACTGGGGAAAACAATCCAACAGGGGATTGTTGACTAGCTCACAATTATCCGGCCCTCAAACGTCCATGTGGCTAGGGATGAGTTGTCCAATTGGGGGACTGATACTCTAACCAGCCCGTACGGACGAAGAATCAAGACCCGTACGTTTGAAAATAGTCCTACGCTCGTAGACTACCCAATCAAAGGTCTACAGCAACATCCCGTCAAGGATGCCCTGGGTTCCGTCATATCCATAATTTCCACATATCCATTTCCATGTATCCCAGTGTCCATATCCACTGATTCCAAGTATCATCATCCAAGGGGGAGGTACGTATGATGGTGGAGTTCGTAATCCTTATATAAATATTATAAAAATAATATTCCCTTCCTTAATTCAATTTTCCCAAGGCATCGTATTAAGACAAACTCTGACGAGCCTGGGCAAAATAAATCATCCGAAAGGCTTGGACAAACTCCGACGGGCCTGGGCAAAATAAATCAATCCCCGAAGGGCCTGGACAAACTCCGATTGGCCTGGGCAAAATAAATCATCCGAAAGGCTTGGACAAACTCCAACGGGCCTGGGCAAAATAAATCAATCTTCGAAGGGCCTGGACAAACTCCGACGAGCCTGGGCAAAATAAACCTCAAAATAAATCTCCGAAGGGCCTGGACAAACTCCGACGGGCCTGGGCAAAATAAATTCTCAAACATAAAATCCATAACTGGGGAGGTACCTAAGGTAGTGCTAATAACACTCAAATTTAACATTCTAAGTACCCCACACATAATCATCAAAGATAGTACTTTCTCAAATATTATATATGTGACTCAAGATACTCGAATATGTCAAACCCACATGTATCACAATTACTTTACAAAAATAAAGAATTCAACTATTAAATATAAACAGAATTTAAATAAACTATTAAATTCAAAGGCATAAGATTTCCATCACAAAACCACAAAAATAATCTCATAGACCCACATAAATCAAATGACGGTCAAGACTCGTCCAAAAGGGTCGTTCTAGTACTCCTTGAAGAGTGAAACTACCTCGGAAGACTCACGGTCAACTGGGGGTCAAACTGCCCAAACTTGGTCAACCGGGCCAGCGGGGCCCACGACCTCTGTTTTACAATCCGAAAGTTCCTATGGGTTCCACAAGATCTAGGAAATACGTCCTACAAGTTTGGTTCAGATCGGACGGTCGGATCGCTCGCGATCGCACGATCGAACGATTATCGTAAAACACAAACTTTAAGTTATTTAAATCGGAACATCCGGGGCTCCGATTCCCGATCCGCGAATTCCTACACGATCCTAGGAATACCTAGATCAACATATATTAAATTGAAAACGATCCAACGGTTCTAACATATCGAACCCGAAAATCACACAATATGTAAAATCCGTTCGGGGTTCAAACGTTATCCGAATTGGAATCCGAAAGTAACTACGCGCTCGTGAGAACCAGGAGATCATTTTAGGACACAGTGACAGGTCAACACGTGGCCCACGCGCCAAAGAAATTTCCGACGATCGGAAAAACTCTAAACCGCAGGCCAAGCTTCCTACCCTAGGTAAAACCCCTAATTTGAAACCACTTTTGTTCTTGGACATACCCCAAAAAGTGGCCGGAAGTGGCTGAAAACGGAGGTCAAAACTGGCAGATTTTTCAATCGCTTAATTAACCATCACAACGCAGAAATTGCTCAATTCCTATCCAACCATCAGCTAGAACATGAAAAATAGGTGGAAAAGCATACCTTAATCGACCGGTTTGGTGGCCGGAGGAGGGAGAAATCGCCGGCGAAAACTCTGTCAAAAACTGGGTCGAAGCTGATCGGATTTTTGCATTTTCCGGCCATCTCCGGTGGTATAGGAAGAGGGAAGTGAGCTTGACGTTTTGGTACTAATATCATGCGATTTGGTGGTCGGTGGAGGTGGTGGCGAAGCAAAAACCGTTCGGATGAACAGTAACAGGGGAGGGGGGCTGTTTCTGCGCAGGGAGAGAGAGAGAGGGAGAAATGGGTTTTCTGATTTTTATTTAAAATCCCATTTTGAAATAATTACGATTATGCCCCTGAAGGTATTTTGATCGTAACTTTCTCGTTACAACTCCGATTCAAGCCCACTACGTGTCTACGGACTCATCTCGGTACGATCTACGTAAAAATACAACCCCCTGCCCCCAATTCCTTCTGAAAATAAAATGGCCAAATTACCCCTACTCCGAGGGCAAAATTGTAAATTCATTAATCTTGAAATTAATTAATTCACTATTCCTTTAATTTGGGTCGGGATGTTACACTCTCTCTTTTAGGGTTTAGGAGAAGATGATGGTAGAGATGGAGGATAGAGAAGATGGCGGTAGAGATGGAGGACAGAGAAGAAATCAATGAAGAAGAGAGATGCTGAAGGTGAGAGGGATGAGAGAGTGAATATGACTATGGGTATCGCGAGAGAGAAGAGAGGGAGTTTAATTTTTGGCCAAAAATATACAAGAGGGAGTCTGAAATATTTGCGAGGGAGCGAAAATTTTTAGCGAAAAATCACTGTAGCGGTCAATCTTGTTTTTGGTGTCGGTGCTAAATGTTCGGCTTAATTTTTATTTTTTTAAAAACCATTTTATGCATAAGTATATTTATATCATAGATGCTAAGTAATCAACAACATCGGTAGGAAAAACAAAAAATTTGTGATAATGTCTTTATATACTTTTAGTCTTATTATTTATAGAACCGATTCCTAATATACTAAAAGCATCGGTTTTTGGATTTGTCGATGCCTATATGGTGTTGTGTAAAGTAAAATTTGGCATAGTGTTTGCGTCTCATTTTATCCTTATCGTCTGGTCCGTTAAAAAAATACATATATATTTAAAATGCTAACATGACATGAATGAGATTCATTATTTTACTTAAATGTACACCACATGTGTGAAAAATAATAACAAAACATTTTCTTTTAAAAACAATATGTAAAAGAATTCACATCATCGCCTAAAGAGCAATCAATTTTTTTATTTTTTATTTTACCAATTTGTATCCTAATAGTGATATAGGAAGATGGCGATCCCTCCAACAGCAAAAATAGCTGCTGCAACTGCCCAAAGAACAATTGTCAGTGAAACTGGTTTTCCCTTCTTTTTCGATTCTGGTGACGTGCTTGGTGTCGCGGAGTTAGTCAAACCCTCATTTCCACTTGTGTTGACGAAGACCCAAGAACTAAATTTTGGAATTTCTCCAGAGAGCTGATTGTTGGAAAGTATCAACTGTGTCAAGGCTCCCAACTGCGTCAAGGCTAGGGGTATCTCACCTGAGAATTTGTTATTTGAGAGATCCAGAATTTCTAATCCCGTGAGCATGGCAAGAGTTACGGGAATATGTCCTTCAAAGAGATTGCTGCTGAGATTCAAAGCAATCTGCAAAGTAATAGGCATGCTTGGAATGCGACCACTCAACTGATTTTCTCCAAGTTGGAGTTCCATCAGAGAAGTCATGGAGCCAATATTTTCCGGTGTCGAACCACTGAGATTGTTGCCTTGTAAATTCATGTTAATGAGATTCTTCAAGCTTGCAACCGAAGGTGGTATCGAACCATTCAGAGAATTCCAGCTGATATTTAGAGTCGACAACTTCGACATTTGAGCAATTTGAATTGGGATTTCACCAGCCAACTTGTTAAATTGAAGTTTCAAGACTTGAAGATGGCTAAGGTTACCCAACTCCACTGGCAGAGACCCAGAGAGCTGATTCTGAGCCAAATTCAACAGTGCCAAACTCTGGCAATAACCCAATTCAGGAGAAATCAATCCGGTCAATGTATTGTTTTCCAGCTCCAAGTAAGTTAAGTGTTGGAGTGTTGAAATGGCCGCAGTTGGAATTACATAATCAAGTGAATTGCTTCCTAATCTCAATTTGACCAACCTCGGAGAAAGAGCTGTAGGTATCGATCCGTTTAATCTATTGTTAGACAAATCCACAATCTGCAGATTCAATGGAGACAAAAGTTCCGATGGAATCGAGCCACTTAAGCTGTTATAGCTTAGGTCCAAATTTCTCAGATGTTTTGGAATTCCTGCAGGAATTGGACCGTTGAAATTGTTAGAATTTGCAGCAAAACGGGTGAGGCTTGTCATATTCCGAAGGCTTCGTGGGATTTCGCCAGATAAACTATTGGACGACAGAATCAAAACCTCAAGTTTGGAGAGCTCTCCAATTCTGTCAGGAACAGAAATATTATTTACACTAAAATCAATCAGAGTCAAATTGCGGCAGCCCACAATATCAACAGGGATTATGCCATGAAACATATTCATAGTAAGCCGAAGCTCCTTCAAGACCTTGGATTTTCCAGGACGCGTAGGAACAGAACCAGTGAAATTGTTCAAGGTAAGGTTCAAGCTTCTGAGCCCAACTAACCCATCTAACTCTAAATCAATGGCCCCACCCAACCTATTATTAGACAAGTCTAAGAACTCCAACCCAGCAAAACCAACAAATACAGGCAAAGAACCCAGCAAAACAGAGTTATATAAAAACAGAGAGGGTTTAAGGAAAACAACTTACTGCTGGGGTTTATGGCCGTTTTGGGGAATGGAATTTTGTGGGAGAAAAAGAGAGGAAACTTAAAATTTGTGGGACACACAGACCCATTGGGTCCGCTCAGTTACCAGACTGCAAGAAGACTAGGGACTGAGAGCTGAGAGTAAAGAAAAGTCTGAGTAGATCGTCGTCTTCTCCATAATTTCCCCCTCAACAGGGGTGTTGACCAGCTTGTTCAAAAAACGCGTAAGTGGAAACGACCTGGTCTGCTAGTATCTGGAGGACTTGTTTAACACTTCAATATTCATATGTAGCTGACATGTACCTTATGTGCTTTTGAAATACTTACATGTCCAAACTGTATGTACTCTATACCACTTGAAAACAAAAACAATATGATATTCTTGAAACAAACTGCAGAGGATTTAAGTCAGTGTTCTTAAAATTGATAATTCTTTAACAAAGTGAGTTGTCATGTAAAAGCTCAAGTTTCTTTTAGGCTATCATTTAAAACATCTTTATTCTCACTTTATGAATTGAACCATACTAGTCCTCGTTTGAGAGGAAAACTTCATTATGCAATTTTGATCATATAGCCTTGAATATTTAAGATGTTGTATTCGAAGAAGTGCTTTGTCAATTCAACCAATACAAAATCTTTCTTTAAACATGATCACTGAAACTTTAGTTAAATCTCTAAATTATTTTATAAATAAATAAATAAATAAAAAGAGAGAGAGACGGGTAAAGCCGACCGGTTATCCTTTTTTTTATAAAAAAATAAAAAAAGAAGTATAGCCGTGCGGCCATACGATTTATTTTTAAAAAATTTAAAAACGAAGCTCTTGTGTAAAAACAGTAAAGCCGCGCGGCTATACTAGTTTTTATAGAATAGCCGTGCGGCTATACTATTTAAATACATTATTGGCATGTTTACTAATCCGGAATTGAATTAGGGGGAATTGAATTAGGGGGAATTGAATTGAGGAGTTGGATTGAGGAGAATTAGATTCCGGATTCCTAATGAAGTTGTTTACTAAACCATATGGATTAAGGGGAGTTAGATTCCGAATTCCTATTGAAGTTGTTTACTAAACCATAAGGAATTGGGGTATAAGTGGTACTAATTACTAAAATGTCCTCATTTTTTGGTTAAAGTAGATGGTGTATTTGGAATTTTGAAAATTGTGTGAGGATATAATGGGTAAAAAAGATGAATTCATAATGGGTGAATTCTCCATGAATTAGAATACCACCTCCCATTCAGTAATTGAATTCCTCCAAAATCAGGAATTCAATTCCTAATTTTGTGTGGGCCCCGCTTACTTTTTCAATTCCTTATGTGAAATAAACGCAGGAATTCTCTATAGGCGGAATTCAATTCCTGATGAGAATTCCAATTCCTGATTAGTAAACATGCCATTAATTCTATTCCTTATAGTTTTTCTGTAACCAATTATTTTAGATGCACAGGTCATTTCTCATGAGCCTAGGTCTGTGTAGTTGTGCTTCCTCTGCTGGCAGCATTGGTTCTTTAGTCTTCAATGCAAGGTCCAACTCCATAATTCCAAGAACAATAAGCAAATGATCCAGTTTCCACTTCCTGTAGTTAATTCCTGTAAGTGGTTCTTATGGAGATGAGGTTCATGGAAATGGCATTCAAAACTGTCATTCACTGAATATGCAAATGTGAAAATCTTTTCCTACCCTGTTAGGCTTAATTTACCTACATTCACACAAGTAAATTAAAATTTGCAAGTTGTGTGTTGCTGCATTGATTCTTCTAGAATAAGCAACTAATTTACCTAACATTGCACAATAACATAATTACACAAGTAGTAACTAAGGTCCTTGTCACGAGCTCCTCAGCCACAGGTTTTTTGATACAGCTATGTTGATATCCATGCACCCTCCTCTTCAAGGTGTAAATTAACTTTGCCCATTGATTGATATTTTGCGTCTCATTTATCCTTATCATCAAGTCCGTTAAAAAAATTTATTTAAAACGCTGACATGACATGAATGAGATTCATTATTTTGCTTAAATGTACGCCACGTGTGTGAAAAATAATAACAGAACATTTTCTTGTAAAAAGCATAGGTAAAAGAATTCACATCATCGCCTAAAGAGCAATCAATTTCTTTTTTTTTACCAATTTGTATCCTAATAGTGATATAGCAAGGATGGTGAATCCTCCGACAGCAAAAACAGCTGCTACAACTGCAAGAAAAATTATCTCAGCACATGACATTTTCGCCTTCTCCGATTTGGGTGAAGTTCTTGGTGGTTCTGTGTGACTAGGATTGGTCAAACCCTCATTTCCACTTGTGTTGACGAAGACCCAAGAACCAAATTTTGGAATTTCTCCAGAGAGCTGATTGTTGGAAAGTATCAACTGTGTCAAGGCTCCCAACTTCCCAAAAAATGTGGGTATCTCACCTGAGAATTTGTTATTTGAGAGATCCAGAATTTCTAATCCCGTGAGCTTGGCAAGAGTTCCCGGAATATGTCCTTCAAAAAGATTGCTGCTGAGATTCAAAGCAATCTGCAAAGTAATTGGCATGCTTGGAATGTCACCACTCAACTGATTTTCTCCAAGTTGGAGTTCCATCAGAGAAGTCATAGAGCCAATATTTTCCGGTATCGAACCACTGAGATTGTTGCCTTGTAAATTCATGTTAATGAGATTCTTCAAGCTTGTAACCGAAGGTGGTATCGAACCATTCAGAGAATTCCAGCTGATATTCAGAATCGACAACTTCGACATTTGAGCAATTTGAATTGGGATTTGTCCAGTCAAAAGGTTAAGTTCAAGTTTCAAGACTTGAAGATGGCTAAGCTTACCCAACTCCATTGGCAGAGACCCAGAGAACTGATTCTGAGCCAAATTCAACAGCGCCAAACTCTGGCAATAACCCAATTCAGGAGAAATCAATCCGGTCAATGTATTGTTTTCCAGCTCCAAGTAAGTTAAGCGTTTGAGTTCTGCAATGGCCGCAGTTGGAATTACATCATCAAGTGAATTGCTTCCCAATCTCAGTCTGACCAAGCTCTGAGATAGAGCTGCCGGTATCGATCCGTTTAACCTATTATTAGACAAATCCACGGTCTGCAGATTCAATGGAGACAAAAGGTCCGATGGAATCGACCCACTTAAGGTATTATAGCTTAGGTCCAAATTTCTCAGATGTTTTGCAATCCCCGCAGGAATTGGACCGTTGAACTTGTTAGAATTTGCAGCAAAACGGGTAAGGCTTGTGATATTGGAAAGGCTTTGTGGGATTTCGCCAGATAAATTATTGGACGACAGAATCAAAACCTCCAACTTGGAGAGCTCTCCAATTTCATCAGGAACAGACCCATAAATATTATTTACACTAAAATCAATCAGAGTCAAATTGCGGTAGCCCACAATATCAACAGGGATTATGCCATGAAACTTATTCATAGAAAGCTGAAGCTCCTTCAAGACCTTGGATTTTCCAAGACGGGTAGGAACAGAGCCAGTGAAATGGTTCAAGCTAAGGTTCAAGCTTTTGAGCCCAACTAACCCATCTAACTCTAAATCAATGGCTCCACTCAAGTTATTATGAGACAAGTCTAAGAACTCCAACCCAGCAAAACCAACAAATACAGGCAAAGAACCCCCCAAATTGTTATAGCTAAAATTGAGTAGCCTTAGCCCATCAAGTTTTCCACAATCTGAGAGAAACCCAGATGGGATTTTTCTCAGATGGTTGTCTGAAACATCAAGAATCTGCAAGGACTCAATCTGGCAAACAAGGGGCAGAAAATCTGAGGAAGATAGAGAAACCCAAGATAAGGAAATTTGGATAACAGATGAATTGGAGGGGGAGTTGCACCCAACTCCTTTCCACAAACATGGGTTTGGCTCTTTGTTGATATCCCATGAAATATTAGTGACATTTAGACTCTTGGAGAGATTGATCATAGTGGTTTTTTGGTTTGAGGATAGTTCAGACAAAATCATAGGATAAAAAGAGAAAGAGAAGGAAAAGAAGAAGAAAAACAAGTACCTGGCCATTTCAGCTGTGCGTCAGACCTTGGACTAAATTTGTAAGCAATTGAAAACAGAGTTTTAGAAACACAGAGAGGGGTTAAGGAAAACAACATATTGCTGGGGTTTATGGCCGTTTTGGGGAATGGAAATTTATGGGAGAAAGAGAGAGGAAACTCAAAATTTGTGGGACCCATTGGGTCAGCACAGTTACTGGACTGTAGGAAGACGAGGACTGAGAGCTGAGGCTAAACAAAAGTCTGAGTCTTCTCCATATTTTCCCCCGCTGACCAGCTTGTTCAAAAAACGCGCAAGTGGAAGCGACTTGGAAAATTTGTAACCCAAACAGGTCTTCTTATTGCTACTTTTCTTTACAAAAACATAACTAGACATACTTGTTGTTCTATATGAACACGTTAACTAGACATACTTGTTGTATATGTTCGTCCAAAAACATATACCAAAACCATATTAATACTGTAAAATATACCAAAACCAAAAATAAAACTCAAAACTGCAATTAACCTTAGGCTATGGCTTCACTTGAATTTCTTAATTTGATGTGTGAATAAAACTTTGTGAGCATGCAAAATGGGCTGTAATTAACTTTAGGCTATAGCTCAACCTTTTGGGGAGTAAAACTTTATGATCTTACAAACTAGGGCACTGGCTCAACTTGAAAAACTTTTGGTGAATGAAACTAAATGAGCAGTGAGTGTGAAGTCCAAAAACTATACATCATTTCTCCCACTTGGGCAAAACACTCACGACTTGGTTGCTCTCGAACCGACTACACCATGCCTTATAACTTTAAAACATGTAGTTATTAATTAGTATACTTCGATATAATATCATACCACTTTTAAGATGTACTACTTTAAATAAATTCACACAATTTCTTTATTAGTTTGATTAACCTCAAATTACGTAGAGACATAAAGCTTCACATAACAGAAATTTAGAGTCTTTTTATGTCTATTTAATGGTCTAAAATGACCTACAAACTTGAGTACTTTTGAAATACTTACGTGTCCAAACTGTCTATACCACTTGAAAACTAAACCAAATAAGTCAGTGTTCTTTAAACAAAAACAATATGATATTCTTGAAACAAACTGCAGAGGATTTAAATGAATAGAGTTCTTAAAAATTGATGTTCTTTAACAAAGTGAGTTGTCCTGTAAAAGCTCAAGTTTCTTTTAGGCTATCTTTATTCCCACAACTGTATGTATGCTATATTCTCACTTTTGAGGAGAATACAACCTGTTTATAAAAACTAGATCACAAGACTAAACCACAACAGTTCTTGTCTTGTGCCATTATGAATTCAACCATACAAGTCCTCATTTGAGAGGAAAACTTCATTATGCAATTTTGATCATTTAGCCTTGATTATTTAAGATGTTGTATTTGAAGAAGTGCTTTGGCAATTCAACCAATACAAAATCTTTCTTTAAACATGATCACTGAAACTTTAGTTAAATCTGTAGGGAAATTTAACTTTGATGGCATGTAGCTGCTCATCTCAGAGTTTATTTTCTTCTTTCTTTACGATATGAAAATAAATTCTGTAACAAGTGCCCTTGCTACAACACCCAAACAAAAAACAAACAAAAAAAGTTACATGTTACTTCAATCTTTAGAATCAAGCCAATTCAATTATACACCCTGTTAGACAGCTTTAATTCTCCCTAATTCTGTTCCTTACAGTTTTTCTGAAATCAATTATTTTAGAAGATGTACAGGTCATTTCTCATGAGCCTAGGTCTCTGTAGTTGTGCTTCCTCTGCTGGCAGTATTGGTTCTTTAGTCTTCAATGCAAGGTCCAACTCCATAATTCCAAGAACAATAAGCAAATCCAGTTTCCACTTCCTGTTGTTAATTCCTGTAAGTGGTTCTTATGGAGCCGAGGTTCATGGAAATGGCATTCAAAACTGTCATTCACTGAATATGCAAATGTGAAAATCTTTATCCCCAAATCTGTATCATATTCTCATCTTTAGACAGAGTATACGATGTTTTCTTTATTATAACACCATTCTATGAACACGATCACCATAGCTATCTTTTCTGTACTAAAAAATCAGATTAGTGACAGATATAGCATATAGAAGAACTGAATCGAAAATTATTCTGTATTAAGGATTCAAGGGATTGTGAGGTAGCTCTGATACCAAATGTAAGACTGAAAAATAAATTTGCAGGAAGCCGCGTGTCAACGCATATCCCCTCGGCCCGGAACTCCAGAGTGTGAGATTTGCGCGGTAGACAGTAATATTTTATGGTTTGTATCTATGAGCTTGCTTTATTTGTTGGTGTTGGGTAGCATTTGAATTGAGTTTTTTTTCTCATTTTGTAATGTTTCCCATTATTAATGAATAGAGTTTCCTTGACCAAAAAAAAAAAAAAAGTCTAATAGTGTATGTAAGTTAACCCTAACTTTTTGTAAGTTGTTTGGGCACATTGATGTGAAAAGGCACTCAATTAACTTTTCCTACCTTGTTAGGCTTAATTTACCTACATTCACACAAGTAAATTAAAATTTGCAAGTTGTGTGTTGCTGCATTGATTGTTCTAGAATAAGCAACTAATTCACCTGACATTGCACAATAACATAATTACACAAGTAGTGAACTAAGGTGCAATGTCAGGTGAATTAACTTTGCCCATTGACTGATATTTTGCATCTCATTTTATCCTTATCGTCAAATCTATTAAAACAAAATATATATTTAAAACACTGACATGACATGAATAAGATTCATTATTTTACTTAAATGTACGCCACACGTGTGAAAAATCATAACAATACATTTTCTTTTAAAAAGCATAGGTAAAAGAATTCACATCATCGCCTAAAGAGCAACCAATTTTTTATTTTTATTTTTTTTTACCAATTTGTATCCTAATAGTGATATAGGAAGATGGCGATCCCTCCAACAGCAAAAACAGCTGCTGCAACTACCCAAAGAACAATTGTCAGTGAAACTGGTTTTCCCTTCTTTTTCGATTCTGGTGACGTGCTTGGTGTCGTAGAGTTAGTCAAACCCTCATTTCCACTTGTGTTGACGAAGACCCAAGAACTAAATTTTGGAATTGCTCCAGAGAGCTGATTGTTGGAAAGTATCAACTACGTCAAGGCTCCCAACTGCCCCAAAAAGGTGGGTATCTCACCTGAGAATTTGTTATTTGAGAGATCTAGAATTTCTAATCCCGTGAGCTTGGCAAGAGTTACCGGAATATGTCCATCAAAAAGATTGCTGCTGAGATTCAAAGCAATCTGCAAAGTAGTAGGCATGCTTGGAATGTCACCACTCAAGTGATTTTCTCCAAGGTGGAGTTCCATCAGAGAAGTCATGGAGCCAATATTTTCCGGTATCGAACCACTGAGATTGTTGCCTTGTAAATTCATGTTAATGATGTTGACACCGTAACTGACCAAGCAACAAGAAGCAAAGCAAAGCAAGAGGAGTCCCACATCGGAAAACTGCAAGAAGTGGAGACTCCCCTTCACCTATAAAAGGAGACTTCTCTCCTCTTAGAAGGGGGATGAAAAACTGAGCTGGGGGCTCCCTCTTCAGGACTCTCCTGTTAGTCCAGCCTTCGGGTCCTGGGTCTCCAGACCCGGGGACTTGACCCCTGGGCTCCAGACTCCTAGCTTTGTACTTTAGGCCCTAGGCCTTCTTCCATTTATCTTTGGGTCTAACCCCCTTGTACAAATGTAAACAATATCATAATGAGAACATCTTCTCTGTGGACGTAGCCCATTCATTAAGGGTGAACCACATATATCTTGTCTTTTGTATATTTATAAATTGGCCAAAGCCCTCACATACCTGCTGAAGGTCCAAGCCTTCACCCATCATCCATCACACCTCATCACTAAGTTGGACTCAATAATGGCCCAACCATTTTGAGCATCAACAAATGAGATTCTCCAAGCTTGCAACCGAAGGTGGTATCGAACCATTCAGAGAATTCCAGCTGATATTCAGAATCGACAAATTCGACATTTGAGCAATTTGAATTGGGATTTGTCCAGTCAAAAGGTTAAGTTCAAGTTTCAAGACTTGAAGATTGCTAAGGTTACCCAACTCCATTGGCAGAGACCCAGAGAGCTGATTCTGAGCCAAATTCAACAGCATCAAATTCTGGCAATAACCCAATTCAGGAGAAATCAATCCGGTCAATGTATTGTTTTCCAGATCCAAGTAAGTTAAGTTTTGGAGTGTTGCAATGGCCGCAGTTGGAATTACACCATCAAGTGAATTGCTTCCCAATCTCAGTCTGACCAAGCTCTGAGATAGAGCTGCAGGTATCGATCCGTTTAACCTATTATTAGACAAATCCAGAGTCTGCAGATTCAATGGAGACAAAAGGTCCGATGGCATCGACCCACTTAAGGTATTATAGCTTAGGTCCAAATTTCTCAGATGTTTTGTAATCCCCGCAGGAATTGGACCGTTGAATTTGTTAGAATTTGCAGCAAAACGGGTAAGGCTTGTGATATTGGAAAGGCTTTGTGGGATTTCGCCAGATAAATTATTGGACGACAGAATCAAAACCTCCAACTTGGAGAGCTCTCCAATTTCATCAGGAACAGACCCATAAATATTATTTACACTAAAATCAATCAGAGTCAAATTGCGGTAGCCCACAATATCAACAGGGATTATGCCATGAAACTTATTCATAGAAAGCTGAAGCTCCTTCAAGACCTTGGATTTTCCAAGACGGGTAGGAACAGAGCCAGTGAAATGGTTCAAGCTAAGGTTCAAGCTTTTGAGCCCAACTAACCCATCTAACTCTAAATCAATGGCTCCACTCAAGTTATTATGAGACAAGTCTAAGAACTCCAACCCAGCAAAACCAACAAATACAGGCAAAGAACCCCCCAAATTGTTATAGCTAAAATTGAGTAGCTTTAGCCCATCAATTTTTCCACAATCTGAGAGAAAACCAGATGAGATTTTGCTCAGACGGTTGCCTGAAACATCGAGAATCTGCAAGGACTCAATCTGGCAAACAAGGGGCAGAAAATCTGAGGAAGATAGAGAAACACCAAATAAGGAAATTTGGATAACAGATGAATTGGAGGGGGAGTTGCACCCAACTCCTTTCCACAAACATGGGTTTGGCTCTTTGTTGATATCCCATGAAATATTAGTGACATTTAGACTCTTGGAGAGATTGATCATAGTGGTTTTTTGGTTTGAGGATAGTTCAGACAAAATCATAGGATAAAAAGAGAAAGAGAAGGAAAAGAAGAAGAAAAACAAGTACCTGGCCATTTCAGCTGTGCGTCAGACCTTGGACTAAATTTGTAAGCAATTGAAAACAGAGTTTTAGAAACACAGAGAGGGTTTAAGGAAAACAACATGTTGCTGGGGTTTATGGCCGTTTTGGGGAATGGAAATTTATGGGAGAAAGAGAGAGGAAACTCAAAATTTGCGGGACCCATTGGGTCAGCACAGTTACTGGACTGTAGGAAGAGTTCAAAAAACGCGCAAGTGGAAACGACTAGGAAAATTTGTAACCCAAACAGGTCTTCTTATTGCTACTTTTCTTTACAAAAACATAACTAGATATACTTGTTGTTCTATACGAACACGTTAACTAGACATACTTGTTGTTCTATATGAACACGTTAACTAGACATACTTGTTGTATATGTTCATCCAAAAACATAATCTTAACCATATTAATACTGTAAAATATACCAAAACCAAAAATAAAACTCAAAACTGCAATTAACCTTAGGCTATGGCTTCACTTGAATTTCTTAATTTGATGTGTGAATAAAACTTTGTGAGCATGCAAAATGGGCTGTAATTTGATGAGGAAAATGTTATTATGCAATTTTGATCATTTAGCCTTGAATATTTAAGATGTTGTATTCGAAGAAGTGCTTTGGCAATTCAACCAATACAAAATCTTTCTTTAAACATGATCACGGAAACTTTAGTTAAATCTCTCTTACTTGTGCTAAATGTGTAAAGCTTAGAAATTGGGGTTGAACAGGGTCTTAAGAATCCAAGTTTAAAAACTAACAACTGAATTTCTGAGTCTAATAAGCACTGAAAATGAGCATATAAAACGTCAGCATAATTGAACCAAAAAATTACTGAAGTCAAATATACGTAAAACATAAAACTAATTAAAGAAAACAACTGATTAACCACGTAACAAAATTAGAGCAACACAAGAAATAAGAAAGACTTGCCTACTTAGCGTAACAAGTACTCCTTAGTCTTTACATGAAAATCCGAAGTTAACATGTATTTGTTTTTATAAACGAAAAACTTTACAATGAAGATCGTCGAGGGATCAGCCACTTGATTTGTTTCTCAACATGCATGACACAAGGAGGATGATTTAAAATTTTGAAGCGACTTCTTTGGACCAGTGTACGAAGCGTTCAAGGAGTGACATGTATCTGTTTCTATTTTTGCTTTGAATTCAATTCTCTTTGTAAGTGAGCACGGATTGGAATTGGAATTTGAACACCTCAACCCAAAAGAGGATTTACAAGCTGCCAAACAAAATTGTTGTTTTGCAGAGGTCAAGTAGAAACCAAAACTCGTCTATCCTTTTGGTTTGGACATGTAAGCCTTTCTTTTCTGTGCTTAAACACATGCACAGAGACACCTGTTTGGTATCAAAGATTGAACCTAGCAAAATTCATCATCCAACCTAGCTGGCACTGACATTTTCTATCCTTAAGAACCAATATAAAAATTAAGCTTCCTCTATCCAATCTATCAAAACCATGGCTTCTTCTTCATCATCTTCTTCATCTTCTTTGCTGCTCTTTCTCTCTCTACTACTTCTCCTTCTACCTTATATTACTTCTTCCAATATTATCACCATACCAATCTCACATTTACCCAAAAACCCACATCCAGATCCTTACCAGCACCTCAGCTACTTAGCAAATTCCTCTTTAAAAAGAGCCCGCCACCTCAAAAACCCCCAAACTACCCCTCCCCATATCAACACCAAAACCCCACTCTTCTCCAACAGCTATGGAGGCTACTCCATACCCCTGAGCTTTGGCACCCCTCCCCAAACCCTCCCCTTCACCATGGACACTGGCAGTGATTTAATTTGGTTCCCTTGCAGCAAAAACTACCAGTGCATCAATTGCTCCACTTACCCCAACACCGCCAAAATCAAATCTTTTATTCCCAACTTGTCCTCATCTTCCAAACTCCTCGCCTGCTTGAACCCCAAATGCGCTCTGCTTCACCAAAAATTTCAATGCCCAGATTGCAAACTTGGTTCGAAAAACTGTACCCGGGGCTGCCCTTTGTACAAAATCGTCTACGGCTCTGGCACAACAAGTGGAATTCCACTCTCTGAAACGCTGCACCTCCCGACCCGACGCGTACCCGATTTCCTTGTGGGCTGCTCCGTTCGCTCTACCCACCAACCCGCCGTTGGCATTGCCGGGTTGGGCCGCGGCCCAGCTTCTCTCCCCGCCCAATTGGCTGTCAAAAAATTCTCCTACTGCCTTCTCTCTCGCCTCTTCGACGACACTAACAAAAGCAGCTCACTAGTCCTCGTCGGCAGCAAAGACTCCGTCAAGAAAACTAAAGGCGTCAGCTACACGCCGTTTGTGAAAAACCCAGAAGTCCCCAACAAGCCTTTCTCCACCTATTACTACGTCGGCCTCCGCCGCATCAATGTGGGAGGGCGGCGCGTGAATATTCCGTACAGGTATCTGAGGCCTGACAAGAACGGCTCCGGCGGGACCATTGTCGATTCCGGGACCACCTTCACGCTGATGGCAGCTGAGGTGTTCGAGCGCGTGGCGGGAGAGTTGGAGAAGCAAATGAAGGGCTACAAGAGGGCGGAGGAAGCGGAGACTTTGACTACTTTGAGGCCGTGCTATGATTTTTCCGGGATCGAAAAGCTGGAGTTTCCAAGCGTGACGTTTCACTTCAAGGGAGGGGCTGAGATGGCGCTGCCGTTGGAGAATTACGTGGTCCGGGCCGGTGGGAAGGTGCTGTGCTTCACGATTCTGAGTGATAATGGGCCTATAATCTCGTCTGGGCCTTCTATAATTCTGGGGAGTTCCCAAATGCAGAATTATCATGTGGAGTATGATTTGCAGAATGAGAGGTTTGGCTTCAAGCAACAGGAATGCAACTGATGTCTGTTCTTCTTTCTTTTCTTTTTTTTTTCTTTTTTTTTCTATTGAAGAATAAATCTGTGCAAAATGAGAGAATCAAACCCACCTAGTTCATAAGTACATGAAAATAAAAATAAAAATCATTTGCACTGCACAATCATTCTCCACTATTATATTTTATTATTTCAAGAGAGCTGTTAATCGGTTCCCAGTTTTTGAGACAAGGAAAAAACAAAAAATCTCACAATACCAAACCGAAAAGAAAACCCATGGCATCGAATCCAAACTGAAACTTATATCATGATCTAACCATTACCCAATCTCATCTCAAGATAATAATAAATATCAATTTTTATATAAAAAGCAAAAAATTCGATGCAAAAATCACAACAGTACAGACGATGTGAGGAGAGGAGAGAAGAGAGAGAGAGGATAGAAGAGAAAAGAAGGCAAACCACTAGATAACAGAGTACAGACGATGGGTAGATCATGCTCCCTATCCACTTCCTAAAATGGGTAGATCTTTAGTAAGAGTTTCTAAATTTGAGGAGAGATAAAGGACTCCTACCGGCTTCTTATAATTTAATGTTGCTTTATTTAATGGGGCATTTTTGCTCACCACTTCAATTTAAGGTGTACTCTAACCACCCTTTTCAATATTTGACACGTGTCTATTGACATAACCATGGTTCCAAAATTACAAAGTAAAGAGTTAACTATGGTTATGGCAATAGACACATATTCAATTAAACTGGGAATTGTTATTACTCAGAGGCTACAATCGGCAACAATGGCAGCTCTTGTTATTGGGTGGTTCCATGTTTCTTGTAAAAAGTTGGGCCTCTTTCTTCAATCTCGGTCAAAAAGTTAAAAAATTTCATTTGGTTCCAGTTTGAAAATGAAAAAACTTTACATGCATCAGAGATCCCTCTCGCATTCAATGTCTGATCCAGTCCATTGTTTGGTGCAAAAGTGAATTGCACTAGACTTAAAATCCCAACCAATCCAATCCAGTACTTACAAGTCAATTCTAACCAGTCCAGGCCAGCCTACCAAACGAGGCCTAAGAGTACACCTTTAGTTAAAATAGTGAGCAAAAATATTTCCTTTATTTAATGAGTATTTCAAACCTTTAACTAATACTAACTATTTTTTATATTATTTTTTAATAGAAATTGATCCATTAAAAAAGAGTTATAATATTTATCACTTCTTAAACGAGCATGCTTGGAGTTTAAATTTTATAGAGAGCTCCTAAAATAACTTTTTTTTTTAATTTATTTATGTTTTTAGCTAAATTTTAACTAAAAAATAGAGATCATGATTGTGGATGCTCTAAGTACTTATTTATCATGTAGCATTCCACTAATGACTCCTTATTCAACCAATGACATTTTATTGTGTCAATAGTAATTCTTTTTTATTTATTTTTATTTATTTTAAAATTCTTAGAGATTGTCCTTTGTGATATTTTAGAGTTAGAAGTATATGGTTGTGGCAGCTGAACATGCAGAGAGTAAAACTAAAACATGACAAATAAGAAGAAAGATGGTATGCATGTATCAAGAGTAAAACTAATTCACCATTATCAATCTTTCAGTCCAGCGCACCACCGCCCTGGACCTTTATCAAGAGGACTCCAAAATTTTATGCATATGCATATATTTTTTTCGACATCTGAAACTATATAATTTCTGCAACAATAAAGCGTATTATGATAATAAAAAATTGTGTCAAAACTTGGCCAAAAAAAATGTTTACTACATCATCATTTATTCACCAATCTAAAACTATAGAATTATAAAACAGAAAAATCGTACTTGTGTCTTCATGTATGAACTCCTGAAGAGTTTACTGCATCACCATTTATTCACCAACCTAAAACCATAAAAACCTTAAAAATGGTACCTATGTCTTGAGGTATAACCTCTTGAGGTATAACCTCTTGAAGAGTTGTCTCATGAGCTGGATGAGTAGGGGCTGGATGAGTAGGTATTCGATGAGAAGGTGCTAGATGAACTGAACCATATCAATAGGGTGCCAAAATGAATTATGGCAATGCCTATACATGGACATAATAAATCACCACTGGCATTCACATGGTGTCTTGCAACATCAATGAAGGATTCAATCCCTTTCTTATAATTTGGATCGTTTCCTCGATCATGACATTTGGCAATCCACTGCCTATCCATCTAAAACTTGTATTTATAACCACTATATAGAAGAAAATATAGACATAAACTTAAATAACAAAAGTTAATGACTATGAGAAATGGCAGGGGAATTCACCTCTCTGCAAATTATTTCTAATAAACTTGCTCCAAGCAAAAAAGCAACAGAGAGAACAAAAACAACCTGCCAAAAGAAAAAGCAAGCACTAGTAATTAGATAATAAACATGTTCCAAATTTATTATGTAGAAACAAATCTTTCAAACTACTAGCATGATGAGTTGTCATTTTTTTTTATGATATCCAAAAACGCTTGGCTCATAATTGATCTTTTAGGTAGCCAACGATAGAAAGCATATTGATTACATGTCTTATATTCTTCTATAATTGTCTCAGCAAGCACACAAAAAGTAGTAAAGTTAATAAAAATAAATAAAAGGAAAAGTAACAATACAACTTCCTATTACATCCCAATCTCCTCCTAAAGCACAACTCCAATTAGAACTCTAAGAATGAGATTTTTGAAAAGTAAACACCAATTCATATTCCTATTTTTGAAAAGCAAAGATAATAACGCAAATTAACAACAGTGCATAAAAACCCAATAAATCAAATTATGCCTGAAGAGATTTCTTTAACATGAAATTTCACAAATAAACCAATCGGCAATCACAGGATGATTCTATGAATCCTAAATCTTAAACATACAGAAATTCACCAAAACACTCAACTTACCCAAACTGAAGCAAAGAGATAAAAAAAATTACAAGTTAAAATTACAAATATGATACCTGTATTAGGATTAAGAAGACAGAGATATTGTCGTGCCTTGAGGAATTAGGAATGAAAGCGATTTCGTAGAAGTGGTAGTTGTCGCTGGAGCAATAATGGTCGTCGGAGAAGTAGCCGACGACGAAACGGTATCGATCGGGCAGTCGCTGATTTGAGAAACGCAGATGGCTATGAGTTTTGGTAGCAGAGCGAGTAAAGAGCGAATAAAAAGAGGGAGATGAATGAATAGTTGTAATTTTGATTAATATTTTATGTGACTAAGTGAGGCCAGGTAGGGGTGGGCATAAAAACTGATAAACCGATCAAACCGACCGAACCAACCCAAATCGAACCGAAAAAGAGTGTTTTTTGACCAAATCAAAAAAGTCAAACCTGGACCTGAACCGAACCGAAGGTCAACGGTTCGGCTCTCGGTTCTAATTTTTTCAGAACCGATGGACCTGAACCGAACCGGTTAAAATTTAAATATATATATATTTTACATGTGGCCTCATGTGATTGGCCAAAAAAAGAGGAAGTGTGAGAGTGCTTGCACCAGATCCCTTACGCAATTTTTTTTTTTTTGCTGTAACCCTCACACACACGCTACTCTCTCAGTCTCTCTCTCTCTCTCTCTCACGAATCTCACTCAGTCTTCTCTTCGTTCTAATTTTTCTTTTCGTTTTGACCTAACACTAAGCGGCACCTCACCTCTCTCTGTCTCGACCCACCTCCTCCCTTAGATCTTCAATCCTCGCATAGCACCAGCACCACTACTCTCTCAATCTCTCTCTCTCTCACGATCCTCTCACTCTCTCTCACGATCCTCTCACTCTCAGACTCTCAGTCGATCAGCCACCGCGCCTCTCTCAGTCTCAGACTCTCTCACGATCCTCTCACTCTCAGACTCTCGGACTCTCATCTCTCTCACGATCCTCTCACTCTCAGACTCTCAGACTCTCAGTCGATCAGCCCTGCACGCAGCGACAGGTCAGCTTCTCTTTCTCTTATATGTTTTTTCTATGTTTCTCAGTTTGTGATCACCATCTATTCCTCTCCTCCGATTTCTTCTGTGGGTTTCTCTCTCAAATCAGTCAAAGGTGAGAGCATCATCTTCCTTTGAATTTAGGGTTTATTCTAAATTAAATTTATGGTTTATTTTCTTTTAAATTAGGCTTGTCGATTTGGTGGTTGAGGTTGATGTGATGATATATTTTTTCTGTTAAGGTTTTAGGGTTGTCAAATTAGGGCTGCCACCAATTAGTTTATGCTATGTTGTGATGATTATTTGAAAATTGAAATTGACAAAGAAATTATGATTTGTTAGTTTCATTATATAAATTAGGGCTGATAGCATTTAGGTTCTTCTGTTAAATTATTCTAATTAGGGCTGCTACCAATTAGGTTATTCTGTTAAATTATACTGTTGTGATTATTTGGTTCTGTCCTTGGTGGTTCTGTTTTGCTAAATTAATTTTTGTTTTATGAAATTAGGTTCTGTCAAAGTACTAGGTTTTGTTTCTGCTGCTGCCATTCTGTTGTTATGCTACTGTATTAATTATGTTTATGTTTCTTTTTGTTAAATAGGTTATGCTACATACATGCTAGGTCTGTTTTGATTGGTTAGTAACGTTAGTTTCTGTTCAAAGATGATCTTTGCTAATTGGAGTCTGTTCTGAAATTTTGGGGTTCAGTTCAAATTTTGGTTTTAATTTTAGGATTTTTAGGGTATTTGGTTTGAATTTGGTTTGAATTTATGAAAGGAATGAAGCTTGTTTAGAACCTAACCCTATTTTTGTTTTCATTCACAGTTGTTTAGCATCTCTGCTGCTGAGCTTTGAAAGTTTCGAAAAGCTTTTGCTTAAATGGAGGTAAATAAGTTTTTTGGATCTGTTTTGAATATGTTTTGTATCTGTTTTTTGGATCTGTTTTGAATCTGTTTTGTATCTGTTTTGAATCTGTTTTTTTGGATCTATTTTGAATCTTTTTTGTATCTGTTTTCATTGACAGTGTGTGATTTAAATCTGTTTTGTATCTATTTAAATTAGTTTTTTGGATAATATATATGTTGTAGTCTGTTGATGGATAGGAAACTCTGTTTAAATCTGGTTTTTGGATAATATATATGTTTTAGTTTGTGTTAATTCTTGTAAGTGTTGTGTAGGTTGTTTTGTTAAGGCTTTTGGAAGAATGGATGCAGCAGATTTTTTGCAAGGATATTATCTTCATGTGTATTTTTGTGATGAGTTGTAATCTTTAATTTCATAAGTTTAATTTGGTTTGTGTATTATTTTTTGTAATGGTTTGTAAGAGATTATATTTCCTTTTCTTGGTTGGTTGGTTAAATGGGTGAATGTGAGATTCATTTAGTTTAGAAATTTAGATTGGAATGATGGATTTTTATAGGTTGAATTTACATTATTTCAGGTTTTGAAAGATAAGTAAAAAGTGTTTTGGGCTTGTTCATAAGAATTTAATAGGTTTGGGCAATTTGACGACAAAAAATGTGTTTTGGCTGAATGAAAGTAAATCTGATTTGGGCTTTGTTTTGCTAAAAAAAAATGATTTGGGCTTTTTTTTTGGCGAATTAAATAAAATTTGGGCTTTCGAAAATGTTAAAATTGGGCTCAAGCCCAAACCGATCAGAACTCAGAACCGACCCGAGAGCCGAGGCCCATTTCTAGTTCGGCCCAATTTCGGCTTTCACCCTAGACCCGACCCGACCCGAGAATCGAGCTCTCCATCGGTTTGGTTCGCGGGTCGGCCAAATTTTGACCCGACCCGAACCGTGCCCAGGCCTAAGGCCAGGTCCTCACATATGCGAATATGTGATGACAACTAAACCCTAAAATATAATTTTTATTTTGGAGCGGGAAACTTTTCCGCTCATTCCTTTTTATTTTTCATTTTTTTGGATAGATATTCCCGCACTAAAAATTTGTGACGCCTTAAAATATTATATGTGACCCCACAAGCCTCACAAATAATTGTTGGTCTCTCCCGCCCAAAACCGCCAGACTACTTGTGAGGGATTTGGCCTTCCTCCAAAATTGCAGATGTCTTCGTTGTTTTATGAGTGACGACTTGATAAATTCGTCACAAATACCCATTATATGTGACGAATTTACTAGCCTCACTTTTTATTTGGTCACATTAGCCTTTTTTTTTTCTTGTAGTGAAAGTTTAAGAGAATCCTATATAATCTCTTATTTCATTTCTACTATATAAGTAATTTTTGCATCCATTCCTTCTCTATATCATCATTATTTGGTAAAACTTTTCTCCATTGCTGTTAACTACAAATTAGTTTTTAATTTGTGATGAAAATTTTAATAGTTGAACTCATAAACTCATAAATATTCAATGAATTGACTAAGGGTTAATTTTGGTTTATTACTCTGTATTTGTGACCTTAAGGCACGTCAGTTCATGTGCTTTTAATTTTAACAATGAGGTACCCCAACTGTGAAAATTTGTTGCAATGTGGTTCCGCCATTAAGTTGACCGTTTTTTTTTTGTTGTTGGTCAGAGTGGACTTTCATTCATAAGAAAGGGTTACAAATAAAGCCCAACATAGCAAAGATCCAAAAAGCCCAAAACAAACTAAACCCTAGCAACTAAAACAAAACAAGAAAATGCAGCCGTCATGACCATCTCTGCAACAGGAGAAGCAACAAGTAGACAACTACAAACCAAGTCCAAAACAAAACAACAAACTTGTGATATCCCGTTCCTAAATTAATATTTAATTCTTAAATTATTCAAGCAAAAGAAAATTTTACCCCGAGAGTATTTTAATGGGTTTAAAATTGACTTTTTGTTCGGGAAGGATTTTGGGGAATTGAGTGGCACCATTGTGTAGAGCTCGACGATACGAGTTCGTAAACATGCGGCATGCCCAATTCCAAGTTGTAACGAAGGAGGAAAGGTCTAGAAACGAAAAGTACGTAATGAAAATTTTCAAATTTGTTACTGTAGCAAACAACACCACTACAATACTGGTTGCTACAGTAATCGGGCCTCCAATTTATCTTCTTTCTCGCAACACACTCACACTCTCTCTCTTCGTCGCACATAAGAAAGGCTAAAACTTTGGCCGGTGAAGTCCGGTGACCGTTTCTGGCGAAATTGGTCCCAAAAGTTTCGTATCGACGTCCCCTACCTAACCCAGCCCTTTTTGCAACTCGAAAACCCAAGGATTTTGGACTGGAATGACTGGAAGTGTCGGTGGTTTTCGAAGTTTCCGGTGCCGTTTCTGGCGACTCCGGCCACGAAATCCAACGAGTGAGGTATGAAAATTCATCCTCTCATCGTGCTCTACCTGTTTATGTAGTTAGTTTGGGTTAATTTTGGAGTTTTGAAGATTGATTTAAATACCCATATTGGGCCTACGGTTCTGGCCGTTTTTCACCCATTTCCGGCCACTTTTTGGCCGGGTTCAAGACCAAAAGTTGCTTCCTTTTTAGTATGAACGCATTGGTATAGGTATTAGCCGGTGGTTTGGAGATTTTCCGTCGTCGAAAAATTTCTCAAGAGACACCCACCTCTGCCAGTGGCAGGTGGCAGCGCATGGGCCACTTGGTAGCAGTTCATAGAGTTCCAAAATACTCCTCATGTTGTCCCAAGCACGACGGTATGCTTGGATTAGCAATTGGATACCGTTTGACTATCGAACGAATATTACGCCTATTCGGTATATCTGGGTTAAGTAAACCGATTACCATCCGATCATGCGATTGAGAGCGACCCGACCGATCAATCGAGACCAAACTCTCGGAACTTGTTAAGTAGACCTTGTTGGACTTATAGGAATGTTCGGATCGGAAATCGGAGGTTGTGGGCCCTGCGGGCCCAATTGGTCAAATTCTGTGATCGGGGTCAAATCGACCGTTGGATCGCGACAAGACTTCTAGAATGGGCTGAACTTTTGGTTATGGACAAATAGGAATCGTCATGTAACAATTGAGGTCGTGGGCCCTACGAGCCCAGTCGACTTAGATAGTGGGCTTTGTCGGCTCAGTTGAGGCCATTTAGTAGTTGTAATTGTAATTGGATGTTTGTTTTAAATTGTACTATACTATGAGAGTTTTAGTAAATGTTTATGAATTATTATGCTAGTGCTTTTACTTTCCAAGCATGTTATATTATGTTTAATTGTGTGGAATTGGGAATGACTTGGTTAAAGTTAAGTATGTACCAGAAGATATTGACGAAGTCAGGCTGGAATGGGCGGAATTTGTCACCAAGCAAATAGAGAGTAATCAGTGACCATATTTTTTTTTACAATGTACATAATTTTTTTTTTTAATTATTGAACAATCAACAACTAAGGATATTTATTAGTATATGAATGACTATTATTTGAACACGACAGTAATTCCCATAAACCAACGTCTCATTCTTGTTAACACGTCACAATAGTATAAACCACTGTCGTCACTACAAAAAATGTGTCTTTTTATGACGCAGATTTAATGACGCATCGAAAATACACGTCATTAAATGTGATAAACTATGATGTGTTTTTAAAATGCGTCATTGAAATGAGTTTATGACACTATTATCACGACATTTGCTTGATGAGTCATTAAAATCATTTTCAATGACGCGGGATGTGTGTCATTGATTTGAGTACGTTTAGACGACGCTTATCATACGTCATTAACATTGTGAATTTAACGACGTCTTCTACACGTCATGAAATACTTATACGATGACGCTGGAGCTGCGTCATAGATATACCGTATACGATGACGCAGGACGTGCATCCTAGATTTTTCTTAAATTAATGACGTCTTCTACACGTCATGAAATACTTATACAACGACGCAAGACATGCGTCATAAAATCCATGACTCTGAAAACCTCTCTCAGATTGCAAACCTCTCTCTCAAATTACTCTGAAAAATTCCAAACCCAAATTCAGAAAGCTCTCAACACTCAACACCAGCTTACCTTTCAAATCTTCTCTCTCACCTCAAATGTTTCAATTTAAACCTTAAAAAATTTCTATTCTTCCCCCAATTTCAATTCCAAAAACCCAATTTTTGCCCAAAATGATTCATCTTCAACCTTCAATTCTCTGTTTCAAGTGAATCACAGCAACCACATAAATTCCACTCTGATCATTCAAAAATCACAAACCCAAATACAACCCGATTCCCAGAAAATCCAACCCAATTCAAAAGAATTTTCGAGTAGGCCATGGCAACTTCCCCACTCCTCGGGTACTCAATGGCCAATGACCTCCAGCTCGTGCGCCACGCCCCGCCACCACTGTGAGGCACGACTTGGCTCCTTTGACGTGCCAACGGGAGCCGAATGAGGCTTCGTGAGGTGGGTTTTGGTGAGGTAGGTTGGGGAAGTGCTGGGAGTGGCAGTGTGGGGTCTGGGAGTGATGTTGAAGATTATAGGAGTGAGCAGGGTATGGCTGATGATGAGACAAGGTAGAGTTTCTTGCTTTCGTTTTTAGGCTCCTTGTGCAATTATTCATATTATTCTCGATTTTTTTTAGGCCTTTGGAATATAAATTCATATATGTTAATACTATAAATGTGTGGATATTGATTTAAATGTTGCATTTCTGGATAAAGGAAATCTTGCATGTATATTCAGTTGGTTTGTAAATGTGTATTTATGTTTAGTTTGCGTATATGTTATATAGAATGGTAGATATGAATATTTTTGTTGTGGTTGTAGTTAAAGTGACATAAAAAACATGGTTTCTAATAACTGTAAGCGTTTTTGTATTTTGGAATCGGTATCCTGTTCATCCATTGTTGCACATTTGTCAAGTTTTGAACTTTTATTTCTCGATGCAATTCTTTTCCTTTTTCAGATATGTAAAAATGAGCAGGACATACCTATCAAGGCTTGTTGTTCATAGTTGTGTTTGACAACTGCAACTGTATTGTTCCAAAATTATTGAGTTAGTTTTGTATGTGTAGCTTGTATTGATTTTCTCTGGTGGGCTATTTGTTCAAGTTAGGGGCTTTACTTATTCAACATTTGCTACTGAGTTAAAGATTTGCAACTTTGTTTGGGAAAATGGTAAGCTCATTCATATCTCCTATTGAAATGATTATTTTATTTTGTGACGTGAGTGCTTGCGTAGCCGGTTCTATGTTTTCCTCCCATACAATTATATTTCTAGTGCTAAATTTTTTTTTTCTCCCAATCTGCACCACAGTATTTAGATTAGAACATTGTCTGCATGAATTTCTATTTTAGGTCAGTTTATTTATCCTATGTTGCATTCTTTGATTTATTTATCCTATGATGCATTCTTTGATTTGTTTATGCATTCTTCTATATGCATCATTTTCACTGTCATTGTGTCCTGTAAACTCTTCTATGAGCAATGCCTCTGTCACC